CCTTTATAATGCATTATGCATAAAGGCTTTAAGTCTTACCGAAATGTTGCTTTGGATAAAAGCGTAAATGCATCAATGTGAAATCTGGTGTAAGTTGTGTTGAGTTGATTGCTGTGAGTGTTTTAATCCCATCTCTTGTGTCAGGTGTCTCAGTGGGTGTCGTTTCCGGTGAACAGCAGCGGTGTTGTGGGTTATAATCAGTGGAAGCCCGTGGCATATCGTAAAGCCGAGCCGGTGTTTGAGGACGCCACACCTTGCAAACACTCCCAGCTCGTGTCCATGAAGCGCATCCCTCAGTCCGGTCTGGTTCAGGCGTATTTCACAGAGGATCCTCAGACGTACGGCCTGAACATCAGCTTCGGCATCGATAAAGACCCAGTGCTTTACAGTGACACCAAATACATCAGCTGGTGAGTGTGATGAGCAATAGAGACTGAACTGAGAACAATCAATAAAGCGAGACTGTGAGGGACGGAGGCACATTGTAAAACGTGTTTATCTTAAAGAGCTATTTCTACCTGATTTAACTCATAACAAATTGTTTTGCTGGAATAAATTAATGTATATACTCTTTTATATTGCAATAATTTCACATTCAATCTTCAAATTAATGTATAAACAACATAAAGACAGTATATTTTTTAATATTTGTTTAATGGCGTCTTTTTTTTATGACTGAAGGCCAGTATTAATGATACCAATACTGATTTCTCTATAAAATCGCCCCCCCCTCCTTATATTTAACCATTGACTAGCCATTCAACATTACAGTATAATGGAGAGCTATCGATTTTAACATTTATTAGACTTTAAAAAATAACTTCTAATTTAAGTGAACTTAAAACAATCTTCATATAAACCCATTATAATAAATGTCATATTTACCTGTGCCCTTCAGCAGAAATATACAGAAATTGAAGTTATAAAACACTAAATTCTAAATTAAATAGAGATGAATCCTTAAAGCTATAAAAGTTCTTTTTTCGTCTTTTTTTTCTTTGTACTTTGATTAATAGACATCACAGCAGCTGGTTATTAGGTTGTTTTGGCTGCTATTACTTTAACACTTGTGCGTCAATTAAAAAAAGTTACACATAGGTCCATAGGAAACCATTTTTTGTACCTAGTGCAAAACAGATTTATTCAAGGAAATTGAAGTGAAATAGTAAAATTCCAATAAAAATACACATCTGTGCCAAAATTTATGCAGTTGGCAATAACACAGGCAAAATTATCAAAAAAACAAAACTGAAAAGGATATATTTTACTCAAGGATAAATATTACTCAAAAGGTCGCACAAGGGTTAAGAGCTGCTGCTGCTGAACGTGACGCGGATCTGACACACATCATATTTCTCTCAACTCTTTTTACCTTTTCTGACCCACTTCAGGTTAAAGTCTCTATTAATGAGCTGACGAGTTAAATCGGGTGTTAGATGAGTGAGACAGTGCTGGGCTCCAGGAAAACCATTTCAGAGACATGTTCTTAAATGTGACTCATATAAATATATTACATGCATGCACAGTTTTAAGGCAGCTTTAATCACATTTTTGGTAACTTCTTGACTTAACTGACCACGACATTGCATGCACATAGTTTATTTCGCACTTTGATTTCTGAGGAAAAGAATCAAATATTACAAATTTTTTTTACATTATTTTTGAATACTAGAAAATATTAAAAGTACTATATATATTAAGTGAATATTCAATTTTGTTACTTCATTGGTTGTCATTTTTTATTGGGTCTGATTGTTCAACTGAGCGATCTTGACTAGTTTTTTTTTTTGGTTCATCATTTACTTTTCCCCCCCACATTTTCCAAACTGTTAATAAAATAAATAATAAATATACACAGTACACACACATATATAAACAAAAACTTTTGTTTTGGATGCGATTAATTGCGATTAATCGTTTGACTGCACTAATTTAAAATTCATATTAAATTTTGTTACTTCATTGATTGCATTTTTATGGGGTCTTTTTTTTTTTACTTTGTTTTAAAAAAAGTTTACTTTTTAGTAAAGTTATTTTACTGTAGCATATTTTAAGAAAAATATTAAAATAATACTACTATAATAAATATTTATTTGTTACTATTTGTTACAAACCAAATCTTTGACTGTAGTTTCCCACTAATTACTATTGTGACCAACAATAATTCCCATATTTAAAAAAAAACTCATTTAAAGTAAAGATGTGCTGTTTAAACCACATCATATTAAATAGCTGAAATACAGAATACTGACCGTTTGCAGACAGGTTTCCTGAACACCCTCATCTGCCATTGGTCAATCAAACAGATAGCCCCGCCCCCAAACTCACATGATTGGTCGAGTCAGAAGTTACAGGGCGCTCAGACAAACAGATCAATGTTTTATAGGCATCAAATTACCAGTGACTGACTGATAGAGACGCCAAACACACTGACTGAGGACTTTGTCTGAACCCTGAACTCTGCTTCACTCCACAGGACTGTTTTAGTGGGCATGGGCGAGCCTCCGGCCGACTCGTTCTCCACGTTAATCATTATCATCATAGCCGTTGGACTTGGCACTCCTCTGGTCATCATTATCGTGGGTGGAGTGTTTGTTTGGATCCGCAAGAGGAGGTCGCACTCGTCGGGCTACGAGCCAATCAACTGAGACCTTACGGTACAAGCCCCGCCCCCAATGCACACACCTGGTTACCATTAGAAACACATTACTGACGATTAGATGAGCGAGTTAAATACTGCTGACCAATTACACAGACAAACTCTCTCTGGATGGGTTTGGATTTAATTGAACCATTATACTTGGCCTAAAAGTGCAAAGGAGTTATTATTTGATTGTTTTGTTTTTACGCCATCATTTTTCATACTTGATGTTTGCTTGTGCAATCGATTGAATTGGCCAGATTGATGACAGCTGTGCACATTTTAAAGATTTAAAACATTATTTTCTCTTTAATCCTGATGCTTTCATATTTCGTCGAAGCTGCACTGCTGGAGGCTCTCAGGGATTCTCACGGCGATTAGTATGTTTAGTTTTGATGTTTTTAACATAATCATGCGATAAAGACGTTTTGTAAACGTTGATTTGCACCATGAAATCTTTCCTTTTGTTGTTGTTGCTTTCAGTGATTTATAAAATATAAATATGGATTCGAAAACTTCTCTTTTTTGCTATATAATATATATTTATCCAGCACTTTCTTGTGGACTGACATCTTGTGCGTCATTTATTCTTAAACACAATCGAACATTATGTACAGATGTACATGCATCAGATTCTAGACACAATATAAACGTTAATAAACATATGAAGAATATGACAGAAATCTGTGAAATATCAGCATGACAAAAACATGTACTTTTTTTCCCAGACACTTGCCTGTAAAGAAAATAATACAAATATATTTAAAATACTTTTGAATATTAAAAACAATTAAGTATTTAAATTATTGGTTGTATTTTTATTGTCCAACTGAGCAATCTTTAAATGTAGTTTTACACTAATTGCAATTATAAAGCACATATTTTAATTTTTTTATTATTATTATTTGTTTTTTTAGTACAGCAGAAGTTTGTCATTTTAATATTTATTTTTTTTTTTTTTTGGTTCATTATTTCCTCAAAAAAATCAAATATTGAAACTTTTTAATATATATATATTTAATATTTAAGTAAAAAATACTTTATATTAAATACATATATTTTGTTATTTCTTTGATTGTAATCTTTATAGGGTCTCTTTAAAAACCTTTAATTGTTTTTATAGTGAAGTTTTAGTAAAGTAATTTTACTATAGTATCTGTTAGGAGAAATCTTAAATATTAAAAATATATCACACAGGGTGAATTGCCCTAAAGTGGGGCATGTTTTGCATTTCAGGCTTATTAATTAACATTAAATGCACACCCATACCATTTTAAAAACCCCAGGATGTGTACTAATCAAATCAAAAAAAAAAAATGCAGATAACACACTCATAAAAGAAATGATAGGCATATTAGTGCTCTCAGTGCAAGTCTATGATAAAAGGCCAAAGTCACCTCGATTAAAATCTTCTTAAGTTAGTATTTCTTTTGGTTATGGATGGAAGAAACATGGATAACTGAACATCATAGACTTTAAAATGTCACTTGATTTATTGTAATTTACAAAGTAACTTTAATTATTTACATAACTTATATACTATATATATTAAATATCAAATGTTATTTCATTGATTGTGAATTTTTATGTGGTCTTTCTTTAAAGCTTTTAGTGAAGTGATTTTACTGCATGTGAATCAAACATCTTGTGCATCATTTATTCATAAACACATTCAGATGTTATATACAGATGGAAACATTAGATTCTAGACACAAGACTGCATTATTAGAAACCATATGAGGAATATGGCACGAATCTCAGCAATTTTAACGACAACTTGACAAAAACAACATGTCGGAAACATCAAAATACTTCCCTGTAGAACAAAAAACATTACTATTATCCAAGACTAAGTTAATCTCGAAAATACACATCAAGGTTACAATGCAATTACATTTTGCTATTTTAGTTCCCTTATACTTGCATTGTGACATTATTTTCATGACAATTAAACCTTTTTTTAATAATATACCAGTAATTTGTTCACATTACAGTGAAGATAATTAATTTTTTGAGCAATAGTGAGAATTTAGGATGTGAATGTTTAATTGTCATGAAATAAAGCAAGACATTCTAATGGTCCTACAAACAATATTCATTTTCCTGAAGTCAGATATAACTTTGTGTTTCCTTCTGATTTCAGACGTGTGTGTGGAGAGAGTGTGAAAGTGTGTGCGTGTGTGTGTGCGTGCGTGTGAGTGTGTGAGAGAGTGTGAGAGAGTGTGAGTGTGTGAGTGCGTGTGTGAGTGTGTGTGAGAGAGTGTGAAAGTGTGTGCGTGTGTGTGTGCGTGCGTGTGTGTGTGAGTGTGTGTTAGAGTGTGAGTGTGTGAGTGAGTATGAGAGTGTGTGTGAGTGTGAGTGCGTGTGTGAGAGTGTGTGAGAGAGTGTGAAAGTGTGTGCGTGTGTGTGTGTGTGTGTGTGTGTGTGTGTAGTCATAGTGAGTAACTACTGAGGTCAGATTTGCTGAAAGACCGAAACACGAGCGTTTGCAGCAGTTAAACTGGTTTTGTCTCATGACGCATATTGAGTTTCGTCCCATTCATCATCTCTGCCTTTCAGTGCGAGCGAGAGTCTTTCATTCAGTCTTTATGTTTTGATCGTCTGGCTGGACGGATGTGACGTCGGCAGTAAAAGACTCGCTATTTAAGTGATAATTCTGATTATTCGGACGTGGTTTTCAGCCCCACCACCTCTGTTTTGGGGGTGACACTGTAGGGGGCGGGGCCACGTGAAACACCGCCTCCTGTCCGCTCGCCGAGCCAATGAAATAAAGGTTTGCGGCCAGCAGAACAAGCAGAGGCAGAAAGGAGAGAGCGAATCCAAGCGCTCGTACACTGCTGCCGAACACGACACACACCCAGTAGATCAGCCTGAGAATAAAACACACATGCGCTTTAATGAGCCACACAAACACATTCAACAGTTGTGTAAATTGAAAAAACCATTCTTACGTAAATTGTCACAGTGAATTAAATGATTTCTTCAGTGCACTGTGTACTTTTTGCAATCAACAAGTAATGTAACGTGTTACTTTCTGAATACACAACATAATATCCAGATCTCTTTTTCCATTTATTAAATTGATTTACTTGGTATTTTAATAATGTAAAGGTTACATTTAAAAGTCATAAGTAACATTTTTCCAAGTAGGAAATACGTAACATTTCTATTTATTGAATTTACTTGCTAATACAGTTCAAAATCTCTTGTAATTTTAGAGTATTGCAATAATGTAAATGTTACATTTTTAAAGTTAAGAATGTGTAACACTTCTATTTATTGAATTTATTTACTTATTAATACAGTTGAAAATATCTCCATTTCCCCAATGTTACATATATTTAGTCATTTTTAGAGTATTGTAATAGTGTAAATGTTACTTTTAAAAGTTAAGAATGTGTAACATTTCTATTTATTGAATTTATTTTAATACAGTTGAAAATCTCTCCCTCAATGTAACAGTGTTGTAACTTTAGAGTATTTTAATAATGCAAATGCTACATTTAAAAGTCTTAGAAGTAACATTTTCCAACTTAATGGAGTATAATTTTTCTAAGAAACATGTAACATTTGTTGAATTTATTTACTTACAAATACAGTTGAAAATCTCTCCCTTCCCAATCAATGTATCATATAATTAGTAATGCCATTTTAGATCACTGCAATAATGTAAATGTTACATTTTAAGTCTTAAAAGCAACATTTTCCCAAGAAACATGTAACATTTTTACGTATTAGATGTATTTACATAAAAACATAATTGAAAATCTCCCCCTTCCCCAAAAATGTAACACATAATTAGTAATGTAATTTTAGAGTATTGCAATAAATAGTTACATTTAAAAGTAAAAAATTTTCAACTATGAAACATGTAACATTTCTATGTATTGAATTTATTTACTTATAAATACATGTTATACCGTAACACATAATTAGTAATGTAATTTTTAGAGTATTATGATTAATGTAAATTTTACATGTAAGAGTCTTAAAAGTAGCTCCCAACACGCACCTGCCGAAGACGAAGATGATGGTGAGGAGCGGCACCAGTTTGAGCATTTCCTGTTGGGTGTACGTTGCCATGACAGCGAGCTGCAGGAAGTAGAGCAGGTACAGGTGCAGCGAGTCTCGCACGTAATGATCGTGAACGGCCACCTCGCGGTTCTCCCACGTCCCGTCAAACAGAGGCTTCAGCGTCCCGAACCTCAGACGCGACGCACCCTGAACCAGCACACCTGAAAATAAAATGTGTCACGGTTTCCACAAACATATCGGGCTGCACAACTGTTGATAATAATAATAAATGTTTCTTGAGCAGCAAATCAGCATATTAGAATGATTTCTGAAGATCATGTGACACTGAAGACTGGAGTAATGATGCTGAAAATACAGCTGCGCATCACAGAAATAAATTATATTTGACTGTAGATTCACATAGAAAACAGCTGTTTTATATTGTAAAAATATTTTACTATTTTACTACTTAGTAATATTTTACTACTATTTTTACTGTATTTTTGATCAAATAAATGCAGCCTTGGTGAGCAGAAGAGACTCTTTCAGAAACATCTAAAATGTCAACCTGTTTTTGTATATATAAAATGCTTTCTAGATTAAAATGAGAGTGCATATTTGCTCACCGAGCACGATGGGAATGCTGGCGAAGAACGCACAGCGCAGTGTGTAGATCAGCTGGAGGGCGGAGCTGTCGAGGGGCGGGGCTTTGAAGGGGAGGAGCTTGTATCCTGCCCACGTCAGTAACGGGAAAATCACCGCGGCAGCCGTTACACACACACACAACCGCACACACTCCACACGACTGTCTGAGAGAGACACAGAGATCTGTGATCAACACAAGCACTCTTTCTTTTAGCAACTTTTGAGTCATCTGCCATAATGTGTGCAGTATATGATACTGTATCCCACAATGCAATGCACGCTACTTGACCAAGGTTATTATTGTATTGTATTATTGTACCTTATAAAAAAAAATTTGTTGTTACTCGATTGACTTTTTTATTTTATTTTAATTTCACATTTTATTTCAAGTAACTATTTTTTTTAAATAAATGTTTAGATATTTTATTTTGTCACTTGAAATACAAGTTAAAATTAAAATATAAAAAAATATTTAAAAAACATTTTTGTTATTTAAAATAAATGTTAACTGGAATAACATGAATAAACATTTTATTTCAGCTAGTTGCCAAGACAACATTTCTCATTTTTAGTTAGTTTAACTTACTAAAATAACTAAAACTGAAACTAATTAAAAAAAAATAGATATTAGAAAAAAATAATAAACTACAGATATGAAAAAAAAAAAATTTTAAATGACAACAAAAACAGGAAATACAAAAATAATTCAAAATATTCATAAATAGTAAAACTAAAACATAACACTTACGTTAACTGAAGAATAATAAAATATTAAAACAACTTAAACTTATTTATTTCAGCTAGTTGCCAAAGTAACATTTCTAATTTTTGTTTAGTTTAACTTGATGTACTAAAATAAACTAAAACGGAACTAAATTTATTAATAAACTACATAGACATATTTTTTAAAAAGCTAATAAAAATGACTAAAACACAACAAAAGTACTAAAATTTGACTAAAATAAATAAAATTATATTATTATTATATATTATATTATTTGCCTATAGACATATTTTTTAAAAAGCTAATAAAAATGACTAAAACACAACAAAAGTACTAAAATTGTACTAAAATAAATGAAAACTCAAAATCAGGGATATTAAAATAACACCTTTCAGTTTAAATACGACGAACGACCCAAAAACCAAACAGAAACCAATTGTTTTCTCTTAACTCATTTACTGTATCAGACTGACACTAAAAATGTAAAATATTTTACACAAAATGCAATTATTATAATTAGAAATGACTGCATTTACAGAATTTAACACAACGTTATAATGTCAATACTGACAATACTGTTACTTATGCATTTGAGTGCATACTATTTTTACTTCATACTATTTTTTAAAATCCATATACTAAGCAGTGCACAATTACTCGATTACTAATTAAGACATACTCCTGTGTTCATACAGATATCGTCCATTACTGTATTGATTTTAAGATCATAAATATTGTCAGTTCCACACTAATCTGGCTATATGCGACCCTGGAGCACAAAAGCAGTCATAAGGGTCAATTTTTGGAAATTGAGACGTATACATCATCTGAAAGATGAATAAATAAGCTTTCCATTGATGTATGGTTTGTTATGATAGGACAATATTTGGTCGAGATACAACTATTTGAAAATCTGGAATCTGAGGGTGCAAAAAAATCTAAATATTGAGAAAATCATCTTTAAAGTTGTCCAAATTAAGTTCTTAGCAATGCATATTACTAATCAAAAATTAAGTTTTGATATATTTACGGTAGGAATTTACAAAATATCTTCATGGAACATGATCTTTACTTAATATCCTAATGATTTTTGGCATAAAAGAAAATCAATGATTTTGACTCGTACAATGTATTGTTGGCTATTGCTACAAATATACCCCAGCGACTTAAGACTGCATGCTTTTGTGCTCACATATATGCTTTGAAAACAAACCATGCTGATTAGTGAAGCTGTTCAGACGAGTCGTTTACCTTGGGGTTTGTCTATATCGTCAATCCACGGCGGGTGGAAATGTTCAGGAGGGTTTGTGTGGAAGTTCTGCACATGTAGAGGAGTCTTCTCCATCTCAATGTGCTTCTGGAGGTCCTCGTGTCCCGTCGGCTGCACGATCGTCACGTTCGGCGTGAACGCCTGCATGGCTTTCTCTGGACACCAGGCGTCCTGGAGCTGTTCTTCATCCTCATCCTCATCCTCAGGCTTCTCTATGCGGTCGCTCGGTTCCTCCAGCTCTCTGTCTGGCTGGTCTCCTTCACACCTGATCTCGTCTGCATGCTTCAGCATGTTGAAATCAGTCTGATTTTCTGGGCTGGACTGCTGATCTGTGATCATGTCTGTGGTTTAGCTCTGAATCTACAGACTGACGAAACGCCAATCAGACCCTTTTTTGAGTTCAGGATCAATATGAAGGTCCCACATCTCCACAAACAGAGTCCTAAACGCAGAGAGAACGAATGCAGATCTTCTCAAAATGCCCAAATATTGCAGACGAATCACTACCGTTAACTATTATTATCCCCTTAACAGTTCTGGTTGTTTCCTTGAATCCTTTCCGAGGAATAAAGTTAAAAAGAACAGCGTTTATTCAAAACAGAAAAAGTTTCTAACAATATGCATACACAGCCGTTCAAAATTTTTGGGTTCGTTTTTTTTATTTATTTATTTTTTTTAAAGAAACTAATGCTTTTATTCGGCAAGGATGTGTAAAATTGATTAAAAGTGATGATAAAGACTTATATTGTAAGAAAAGATGTCTATTTTAAATAGATGCTGTTCTTTTTAACTTTATTCATCAAAGAATCCTGAAAAAAGTATCACAGGTTCCAAAAAACAAAACTGTTTCCAACATTGATAATAAATCAGCATATTATTATGATTTCTGAAGATCATGTGACACTGAAGACTGGAGTAATGATGCTGAAAATACAGCTTTGATCACAGAAATAAATTACATTCTAACAGATATTCACATAGAAAACAGTTATTTTAAATTGCAATAATATTTTAAAAATTTTACTGTATTTTCAGTATTTCTGATCAAATAAATGTAGCCTTGATGAGCAGAAGAGACTTCTTTAAAACACATTAAAATTTTTACTGAACCCAAACTTTTGAACGGCAGTGTGTATATATATATATATATATATATATATACACACACACACACATATACATACATTGATACATATATATACACACACATACATATATACAGTAGGCCTTTTATCAATTATAATATTAATTATAAAAAATATATAAACAATATATTGTGATATGCAGTATATATATTTATATATGTGTGTGTGTGTGTGTGTGTGTGTGTAAAATATTGCTTATAAAATATATTATACATAACATAGAAATTATTATATTATTCAAAAACAAATGTGTAAAATAAGCATCTGTATCTGTATCAAATATCCACCATCTGCTTTTTATATTCATAAATCCCAACACAGAGTTCAAGTAGAGCTGCTGGATCAGAGTTTATCAGAGATTCCTCATGCATTAGTCAGCATTTAACACACACACACAGTACTTCAGTGTTAAGTGTTACTCTGATTCATTAGTGTAATCATTAAAGCAGACCGTGAGCAGCAGCTGAGTGTAAAGAGTAATAATGCAGCTCAACCGGTTTCACCCGAGCTCACGGAAATCAACACAACATCCAGCAGAAACTGCTTCATTTAGAGCTAATGCAATCACACACTGCTCTCACAACTATTCAAACACGACCTTTTGTGACGCTTGAGAGGTTTCACATTAAACTTGAATATTTCACAGCAAACAAACAAACGCCTTGAGGTTTGAAAAACAGAGGAAACGCTGTTGTTTCTTACCTGAAACTCCACTGAGAAGGTTAAATAAATATAGATGGACTATTATAAGAGATCAGGAGTGTCGGACTCGATCAGTATGGCTGTGATCAGACACGCACAGGTGTGACAGTCCGCAGGTAAATCATTTCTCTTTCGGTGTCACGTGACTGGCGTCGACGCCTTTTGACGCTTACTTTTTAAAAGGTTGCACTATAAAACTACTTCATTAAGCATGTTAGAAAATAATAATAATAATAAATCAGTTTTCACATGTCAGACGTCAGCTGATAAAAGTTGCACTAAAACACTAAAAAATAAAAATGATTAATTCTGCCTGTACAGAACTAGAGCAGAACACGCATTCGTATCTGTATTAGCGTGTTTGTTGTTCATCTGAAAGGAAACGAAACTAGCTTATAATTAAATGAAATTTTTCCAGATACAGGAAATGCATTTGTTTACTTTTCACAACGTGACAACTATTCTCGTTTACTAGCGCTGCACATGTGCGCGAATAAGGCGCGGTGAAACCAAACTACGCCTCCGCCGAGCGACAGCTCCCTCAGCCAATCACAACGCTAGGTGCGCTGTGCCAGCCAATCGGAGTGCGGGATTGCGCGAGAGGGGGTGGGCGCGCAAACGCGGGGTTCCTCTGTAGCGGCCGCTGTGTGTTTTCCAAACACATCATGAGAAATATCATGTTCAGTTTGACTAAACCGATGATTAAAATGTTTTAATATCTAAAGGACATCATGAGGGGCACGTGTAGGGAGGTAGTTACACTCCAGCTGGGGCATTATTCCAACTTTATCGGGACGCACTGGTGGAATTTACAGGTGAGCTTGTTTAATAGCCAATATATTCAGTTTATGTACAGATTAACAATTATAAAGCTAGAGGAATACACATACGACAGTGAATCAATAACACACGACCTGTCAAATGATTATAGCTTACGAAAAGAAGAATGGCTTTAGGATACAGATCTAGGGTCTATTTTTTCACCTGTATTTTACCCTGGTAAACAATAGTTTCTACATAATAAAGACAGTGGTTACTACAGTTAGTGTTAGTACAGGAAAAGTGTGGTAAATACATAAACAAAATGACAGAGTCCGACAGCTTATAACTGTTTGAAAGGAAATATTCATATACATGTTCATTACTTGTGATTTTACAGCAAAAGCAATAACTGTAGTAACTACACCTTAAAAATTGGTTTTGTGCATCATCATGAGTGTGAGTGAGTGTGTGTGTGTGTTTGAGTGTGTGTGCGAGCGTAAGTAAGTGTGTGTATTGCTATTTATTTATTTATTTCAGTTTTATCTATCACATTTCACTATCTCTCTCAGCTTCCTCTCAGCCGGTGGTTGGTCTTCCTGTGCTGACGTCTCTTCAGTCCAGTCCTGCCGTGGGTCTCCAGCTGTCTGAGCTCCAGAAAGCGTGCGCTGTGCTGGACCTGCGCCGTGTGGCCCCCAGCTTCCTCTCGCATGGCCCCGAACCCGCCAAGATCTCAGTGTCCAAGCAGCTCCGCAGCCTTGCGCACTGCTACCGCTAGAACCGCTGCCGCTCTTCATCTGACGAGGATGACGATGATGACTAGGAGATCTCCAGCGGACGCTCTTCCTCGCGCTGCAGTGTCTGCTCAGAGCTCACGGCATGATGCCTCCGGGGATGATGGGATATGAGCTCACTGAACGCACCCTTCAGAAACAGCTGGAGCATTGGGAAGAAAGATGAAGAAAACCAAATTGTGGGAAAGAAACGTGGTGGATGTGGTGCATGGGATGTTCCCACATTTGTGCATGTCTCTGTATATGTAAACCTCATTGAACCTGCTTTTCTAGAGCCTAAATGTGGAAATATGTAAAAGTCCCAATTAAAAAAAAAAAATATATATATATATATATATATATAGTTTTTTTCAACTGATAATAATCAGAAATGTGTCTCGAGCAGCAAATCAGCATATTAGAATGATTTCTGAAGATCATGTGACACTGAAGACTGGAGTAATGATGCTGAAA